CTTGAGGGATGAAGTGAATTGCATAAGGTCTTACGGCAAAACCACCAGCAAACCCAAACCCTTTTTGTTAGGGTTAGTAGTTAGATCAGTGAGAGTGAGTATTGATTTCTGCGGGGAACTCGACCGGTCAGTCAGGCTGTCCCTAACGACAAAACAAACCCGGCCTTAGTGACAAAGCACTGAGGTGGCTGTTGGGGCGCCTGGGTGGCTCAGTTCATAGAACATGCCACTCCTGAGCTCAGGTGGTGAGTTCAAGCCCTACACTGGGCGTGGAGCCTACTTGAAAGAAAATACATTTAGGTGGCTGTTGCAGTGGATGGAAGACCTGGACCTCAGGAGTGCTGCTAAGTAGACCACTGTTGACCTGACCAAATGTCTGCCCTGGGGAGCCCGGCCTGGAGTGGGTCACACTGGTGTTGGGGCTTGGATGAATACTCTGGAGCTGTGCTGTGTTTGTGGCTGACGCACGCTGGGAGGGCCAGCCCGTCAGGACGTGGGGTGACGACCAGGACTCCTGCAGACTCCAGGGGTGGGAGGCAGACAGAAACCGATGATGAGATTAAATCAAGATTAAGGTAGAGCTTTGCACAGAAAACCAAGCCTACAAGTACAGCGTGGCTCAAGAGCAGTCAATGAGGAAGATGGCTAGTCAGGTGTTAGGGTATCTGGAAGTGACATGTGTGTCCTCGGTGTGGTGGGCTGTGATAGGCTGATAACAGCCTTAAACAAAGGTGATGATACCTTTGCCCTCAGCCCAGGGCATGGTAGTGCTGTTGCGGAATTGGGAAACCTGCCATGTAAAGGGATGGTTGAAAATAACTCTGGGCCGCCCTTGGCCAAGATGAGATTTTAGAGAAGATGACAGGGCATGGCTGACTTCAGGTAGGTGAGGGATCCCACCCTGGAGACAGAGTCATTGACGTGGGTGGGGTGTAGGATTATGTATTTTTTTTTTTTAAAGATTTTATTTATTTATTCATGAGAGACAGAGAGAGACAGAGAGGCAGAGGGAGAAGCAGGCTCCCAAGGAGCAGGGAGCCCAATGCGGGACTCGATCCCAGGACGCTGGGATCATGACCTGAGCCGAAGGCAGACGCTTAACCATCTGAGCCACCCAGGCGCCCGGATTATGTATTTTTAACAGACTCAGGAGGTTGTGATGCATCTGAGGTCTGGGAGCTGTTGTCCTGAGGAAGAGAGCTATGGGTCCCAAGGGTGGACCCCAGCTGGAAAGCAGACTGTGCAAGGAAGCAGAGCTTGGCTGAGCGTGCAGGAGAAGATTCTGAAATCATGCAGGAGTGGGTTGGGTGGTTGTGTGGGATGATAAGCTCCTGGCGTGGGGAGGTGTGTGTGGGTGGTGCTCCGAACTTAAAAGCATAAAGGCACCTTTACAGAAAAAGGGTTCTAATGAACATGCGAGTTGTTAGGGCTTCTGAAAAAACGCTTTCCCTCCTTATTAGTACATAAACCTGAGCCATCCCATGTGGCAGCTTCATTTTAAGTTCATTAAAATTGAATAATATTGAAAACTCCTCAGTTGCACTCACCACACTCCAGGGTGCTCTGCAGCCCCGTGTGGCTAGTGGCCAGTGTATTGGTTGTGCGGATCTAGAACGCGTCCGTTGTGGCTGGAAGTCCTCCTGGCCACTGCTGGCTGTTGTGCTCAAATGTTTGGAAAGCAGAGCACATGGTGATCCAAGGTTGAGCACGCAGTGATTTAATCTGTTACTAACAACGGAGTTCATCCATTTTGGAGGGAAGACTTAGGGAGTTACGTAACATGCCCGGGGCAACGGCAGGTAAGTGGGTCAGTCACGCTGGATTCTAGTCCTGTTTGCTACTCTGGCCTTAGTCACTTGTTGCAAGCCTCAGTTTCCTCACGTGGAAAATGGGCTAATCATAGGAGACATTCACTGGATGGCTGTGAGGATGAGATGATATAACGCTTGCAAAGTACTTAGCAGAGTGCTGGCATCACTGGGTGTTAAAAAATAATTTTCTCTTATCCATAAGTTGTAGTCTAGATGAGAACATCTTATTTTGTCCCTTTTTTCTCCAACTGGCATTGCTTATTAAACCTATTATTTATTGGGGTGCCTGGATGGCTCAGTTATTAAGCATCTGCCTTCGGCTCAGGTCATGACCCTGGGGTCCTGGGATCGAGCCCGTATTGGGCTCCTGGCTCAGTGGGAGTCTGCTTCTCTCTCTCCTGCTCCCCCTGCTTGTGCACGTGCTCACTCACTCGCTCTCGCTCTCAAATCTTTAAAAAAAAATAAAATAAAAACCCTATTATTTATTATAATTTTTTTTAGTTAAAGGTTTTTATTTATGTTTATTTTTTATTTTAAGTAGGCTCCCTGCCCAACGTGGGCCTTGAACTCACAACCCGGAGATCAAGAGTTGCATGCTCTTGCTGTAGGGAATTTGAGACTTTTACCTTTTCTCTACATTGTAATTATGATTACAGTTAATCGTTTAGCCTCCTGGACCAGACACTAGGTATTGTTATTTATTTACTTATTTATTTATTTAGAGAGTGAGCAGGAGGGGCAGAGGGAGAGAGAATTTTTTTTTAAGATTTTCTTTATTTATTTTAGAGAGTGCCAGCAGGGGGTGGGGTAGGGGTAGGGGCAGAAGGAGAGGGACAAGCAGACTCTCGCGGGGCTCACAGGGCTCGTAGGGCTGGTCGATCCCATGACCCTGTGATCATAACCTGAGCTGAAATCGAGTCGGATGCTTAACCGACTGAGCTACTCAGGCGCCCCTTTATTTTTATTTCTAAGGAACCCTAAGCTTAGGACAGTTAAATTATAGAAAGAAAGATCTGTATATGGACATTGGAAAGGCGTCTAAGGTGTGTTGATAAATGAGAAGAGCAAGTTGCAGAACAGCCTGTGTGGTTTCTCTTACCGGGGTAATAATAGAAACTGTGCCAGTACTTTATGTAACTGCTAATCCCCACAGTAGCTCTGTGAGGAAATAAGCGCTTAGGGTAAATTGACCGAGATGACTCGATAGTCGCTGGCCGCCAGGCTTCAGCCCTCCTTTCTCCGTTCCCCTGCTGTGCGCGGGCCCCCGGCTGCAGGGGCGCGGGCAGAGCTGCATCTGCTGTTGACCGTGTTCTGCCTGTGCCCAGGCCGTTGAAAGTCTTTAGATGCACCATTCGTGGACTCTTCACACCTGCCCCCTGAGGCAGAGGGGGCAAGGGGTCTGCAGTCTGCACTGGGGAGGACCCTCCTGCTGGGGCGGTCAAGTGGGTGGTGGTTGGGGCACCGTTTCCTAATGGGGTGGGCTAATGATTCAGTGTCCTGGTTCAGATGCCGGAGTTGGCAGAGTTTGGATTTAAATGTTCCGGGGACGTAAAGAAGGGGGCTTGAGCTTTGCCTCTTCCCTTACCCATTGGAATGACCCTCTAGACAGGGAGCATCGCCTAGAAGGGAAGCAGCCATCCCTTTCCCTCTCATTTTTGGGGTTCCTTTATTCTTCCCTGATCAGTGTACCCTGTGAAGGTTGTCACGGTTTAAAATGAACTAATACAGGCCCCATCATAACAATCACTTACCTTTTGGGCGCCTGGGTGGCTCAGTTGGTTAGGCGACTGCCTTCGGCTCAGGTCATGATCCTGGAGTCCCGGGATCGAGTCCCACATTGGGCTCCCTGCTCGGCAGGGAGTCTGCTTCTCCCTCTGACCCTCCTCCCTCTCATGCTCTCTGTCTCTCATTCTCTCTGTCTCAAATAAATAAATAAAATCTTTAAAAAAAAAAAAAAAAAAAAAAAATCACTTACCTTTTACTGCAAAACAAATTGCCCCCTCATTTAAAGACTTAAAACGATAAAGATTTCTCACTCACAGTTTCTGTGGACCAGGAATTTGGGAGCAGCTTGGCTGGGTGGTTCTAGCTTGGGATCACTCAAGAAATTGCAGTCCAGGTGTTGATCAGGGTTGCAGTTACCTGAAGACTTGGTCTTGGGCTAGAGCACTCACATGCACGGTGGTGCTGGTTATTGGCAAGAAGCCTCAGATCCTGTCTGAGTGGACCTCTCCTAGTACTGCGTAAATGTCTTAACAACACAGTGACTGTCTTCTCCCAGAGCAGTCAGAGAGGGCTGGGCAGAAGCTGTCCTTTATGGTTTTTTTTAAAGATTTTATTTATTTATTTGACAGGGAGAGAGCAAGAGAGCACAAGCAGGGGGAGCGGCAGGCAGAGGGAGAAGCAGGCTCCTCACTGAGCAGGGAGCCCGATGCAGGGCTCGATCCCAGGACCCTGGGATCATGACCTGAGCCGAAGGCAGATGCTTAACCGACTGAGCCACCCAGGTGCCCCAAGAAGCTATCCTTTATCCTTTATATTTTATGACTAGTTTTGGTGGTCACATAGCCTCACGCCCCATTCTAGTCATTAGAATAAGTGTGTGCTGCACATTTAAGGGGGCCGGCTTTGAAGGGATGAGGAAACATCAAAGCTCATGCACAGTGTTTTCCTCATTTTTTCATCCGTTCACTAATTATTTATCAAGTCTGCTCTGTCCCAGGACTCCAGATACAGAAACGTAAGACAAATAAGGCTTGATCTCAACCCTCGAGGAACGTGTTGTGCAGGTGGAATGATAGCTCTGATTTGGGCAGTGCTTTACAGCCTCATGAGGACTTTCACATATGTTCGTATTTATCCATGCTGGTGACCCGCTGTGATCACTGTGGCCAGCGGCAGCCCCATTGCCCGTCTCCTCCGGGGCTCAGATGATGGGGGATTTTCTTAAGTTGATAGAACTTGACTTTGATCCCAGCAATTCTGACTACGAATCCCTTGCTCTTTCTCCTGCCACGGGCTGTGTTCCTGTGGCTACTGGATCAACCCCTGCCTCAGAGGAGAACACTGAGGCTGCAGTCACTGGGGAGGTCTCGATACTGCCTCGGTTTTTCACCACACTGAGCTGTCCTCCAGGGAGGACCACCCTAAATACTCCATTGACAGTCGCTATTGTCTTTCTTCTTGCAGAAAGCCCTGGGTGTGCGGCAGTACCATGTGGCCTCAGTCCTGTGCCAACGGGCCAAGGTGGCCATGAGCCACTTTGAGCCCCACGAGTACATCCGCTATGACCTGCTAGAGAAGAACATTGACATTGTTCGCAAACGGTAAGGCTGTGGGGGGAAAGCTATAGAGACTTCCCCAGGGTGTTGCTTCTGCTTCCTGCCCCTTTCAGGCAGCACAGGAGGTGCTTGGTAAAGGATGGCTAGTGAAGGCAGGAGGATCAAGGCCTTTGGGGTACGAAGTTCCCTGCTGCGGAAAGGCACTGCAGATTGGTGATGGGCCTTGGTCTTCTCTGCCAAGGAAAAATCCATCAAGAAGCCTGGTGATTTGGGCCATCGGGAAGGTCTCAGACGCTCTTTGGTGCTGTGGCCTGAACCTCCCAACAACCCTTTCCAGGACAGACTCCCGACCCTGAGCCAGCCCCCTAGGATCCACCGGACCCAAAGGCTAGAATTGTATTTCCTTTTCAGTGTGTAGCCTAGAGGAGAGCTCAGGCTTGAGACCCAGAAGAAAGCTCAGGTGGGATCTTGAGCATATCTTTTTCTCTGGGCCTCTCTTTCCTCATTTGGTAAGATGGTGGCCATTTTTGCACTGCTGTCCTGTGTCCCAGGTCCTGGGCTAGATGCTGGCACCGGAAGGTTGTATGTGATGCCACAGGAGGATGAAAGGGCGGGGGGGGTGGTGCCGGTAGCACATAGCAGCCAGCACTGCCCCCAGAGCGCAAATGACTATAGACAGGACTGGGCGCTTGCCCACTTGGTGACCGTGACCCTGGGAGCAGGAGAGAATAAATGTGAATATACCCATTATAGCCAAGGAACAGGCTCAGTGGAGAAGCAACTTGCCCAAGGTCATACAGTGAGCAAGTAGTGGGACCTTGTTTCCCCGCCCTCATGTAGCGCTCTAGCCCCCATCCCACACTCCCTCTCAGCTGCCGCTTGGCTTCCTCTTTACTGGTATCCTCGCTTCGGTTTTGAGAGGGAGGGACTATCATAGTCTGTATCTCTAGCAGCCTCCAGCCTGGCATCACCTGATTATAGTAAGAACTGATGAATGTTTATCAAGGATGGCTGTAATAATAGTAGCTGCCTGAGTGTCCAGTTTGTTCTAGGCACTTCACATACATTTTCTTTTCTTTTAAATATTTCATTTATTTATTTGATACAGAGAGAATGAGAGACAGAGAGCATGAGAGGGAGGAGGGTCAGAGGGAGAAGCAGACTCCCTGCCGAGCAGGGAGCCCGATGCGGGACTCGATCCCGGGACTCCAGGATCATGACCCGAGCCGAAGGCAGTCGCTTAACCAACTGAGCCACCCAGGCGCCCTACATTTTCTTTTCTTCTCAACAACCCCTAGAGGTTGTTACTATATCTGCCTCCCCATTTTGCAGATAAGGAAATCGAGTGTCAGATTGGGGAAATAGCCAGTCTGAGGTCATACATCTGTTGAGTGGTTGGACCCAAACGCAAGCCAGTTCTGTCTGGCTCCATTGCCTCCCACTGTTTTTTTCTGGCATTTTTGTGTGGGTTTCGTCTAGGCTGCATGTTGGAATCACCTTAGAAGCTTTTTTTTTTTAAGGTTTTATTTATTTATTTGAGAGAGAGCATGAGGTGGGGGAGAGGCAGAGGGAGAGGGGGAAGCAGGTTCCCCGTTGAGCAAGAAGCCCGATGTGGGGCTCGCAGAACCCCGAGATCATGACCTGAGCCGAAACCAGGAGCTGAAACCATAATGGAGTGAACCACCCAGGCATCCCACCTTGGAAACTCTTATCTATTTTTAAAAGATTTAATTTTTAAAAAAGATTTTATTTATTTTATTTTTAGAGAGAGCGAGCGAGGGAGCGCATGCATGAGCAGGGGGAGGAGCAGAGGGGGATGGAGGGACGGGGAGGAATCTCAAGCAGATTCTGTCCTGAGCTAGGAACCCGATGTGTGGCTGGATCTCAAGACTCTGAGGTCATGACCTGAGCCGAAACCAGGAGTCAGACGCTTAACTGACTAAGCCACCCAAGTGCCCCAAAAGATTTTATTTTTAAGTAATTTCTCCACCCAACATGGGGCTCGAACTCACAGCCCCGAGATCAAGAGTCACATGCTCCACCAATGGAGCCAGCCAGGCGCCCCAACTCGGAAACTTTTAGAACTACCATCACCTGGGCCCCAATTCCGATTCAGTTGGTGTAGGCCTTACTCCTCAAAATGTGGTCCGTGAGTCAGCAGCACAGCGTCACCCTGGGAACTGGTTAGAAGTGAGGCTCTTCAAAACAGATTAGTGGATGAAAATGTAAGAATGTTGTAGAAGGCCAGGGGACTTGCAGAGGGACTCTTCCTCCACCTTGTGTTCATGACAGAAGGGGCCCAATTCTGTTCTTGGGAAACTAGGTCTCTATCATCCAGTAAAGCAGAGGGACAGACGGACACAGAGGACCCATTTTTGCCATCCCTAGTTACTCCTTAAGGAAATGTGGCGCTGAACTCGTCCTTAGGCTTTTGTCATTGTCAGGCTTTTTTGTACAACTTGAGGCATTTGCTGTCAAGGTCTTTGGTTTTAAAGCCCATGTGCTATTTTTCGTCTCCCCTGGGGCTGGGAAAGAGGGGCTGTGCTCTGTGCAGTGAGTCACCAGCCTTGCTGCCATTAAAGGGGGCAGGCTGTCCCTCAGGCCAGTGCTATTTTTATTCGAGGTTCTCATGACAGCAGAACTGTAGAGCTCTTCAGAGTTGCCAGTGCTCTGCTGCTGTCCACCGAGCCAGCTCCTTAGGCTGCTCCTGCTCTCGGGATTAGATCAGCGTGGGAGTGGGGCGCCGGAACCTGGGCTGTCAGAGGGGGTTTCTCTGCTTTCCCAGCAGAGTCCTAGCGGTGACAGCCCTGAGAATGAGTAATCGAGCACTTTGCAGAGCCTGGGCCTGGTTCTAGCTTCCAGGTGTTCCAGAGAGACGGCTGAGCCACACTGCTCGGCTCCTTGCATCCTGGCTCTGCCCCTCGCTGGCTCGTGACCCGAGGTGGGTTCCTTCACCTCGAGGTGCTTCAGTCTCCTCATCCTGGTCTTGAGGAGCCGGTGGCTCGCGTACATTAAAGCACTTAGAGCCATGCTGAGCTAAAAGGACGTGCTGTGAGGAAATGAATCTGTGGTGATAGAAGGCAGGTCACTCTTTGCTTGGGGGATGGGGACAGGAGGGGGGATGACAGAGGGCCACACGAAAACTTTTGGGGCTCATGGATGTGTTCATTATCTTGATTGTGGTGATGAGTTCACAGGTGTGTATGTACATCAAGACTAACAAATTGGGGCGCCTGGGTGGCTCAGTTGGTTAAGCGACTGCCTTCGGCTCAGGTCATGATCCTGGAGTCCTGGGATCGAGTCCCGCATCGGGCTCCCTACTCAGCACGGGGTCTGCTTCTCCCTCTGACCCTCTTCCCTCTCGTGCTCTCTGTCTCTCATTCTCTCTCTCTCAAATAAATAAATAAAATCTTTAAAAAAAAAAAAGACTAACAAATTGTATACTTTAAATACGTGCAGTTTATGGCGTGCCAATGACACCTCACTAAAGCTGTTTAAAAACAAGTGCCACATAAGCCCCAACTCTCCTCTCGTTCCTGTCCAAGCGCCAGACTTGAGAGATGGGTTGGCGAGCTCCCTGAGACGAGCGAGCGGTGGCTGGCCTGGTTACACACTGGGATCAGTGGTAGGGTCAGGTCGAAACCCAGAGCCTCTGACTCCTTCGTTTGATACTGTTTTTCTTTCCTGGCTTGTCGGGTGTGAGTGAACTGCACCCCTTCCCAGGAGGCCTCAGGTTTGGGAGGCGATTGTGAGGTCCAGCCAGCGCTGCTGGGGCAGGCAGAGGGGAGCCTGCTGGGTGGCGCGGGGCAGCCAGGTTGAGTGGGCGACAGCAGGGAGCCTCAAGGTGGGTGGCTGAGGGTCCTGCCCCAAGCGCAGTCTCCTGGCGGGGGGGCGGGCAGCTGGTGAAGAGGCCACCAAAGCCTGGCAGGGGCTGCACCTCCCCAAGAGCCAGGTTTGGACTGCCCCTTTGGCCCTGACGAGGAAGGGAGGGGTGGGACGTGCAGGGAGAGGGGTTCTAGGAAGAAGGTCTAGTGAGGGGCGGGAGGCGCTGACTGGGTCTCTGTTCTTGAGAGCTGACAGCCATGCCTGTCTGAATGGGTGAGAGCAAGTAGGGCTAATGGGAAAGGCTTTAGCACGACAGTGTGAGCGCCAGAGGGTTGTGGGTGGCGGGCAGGGCAGGTTGGGTGAGGGGCATGCTGGTGGGATCCCCTGTGTCTTACTGGGGCTGAGGGCACAGGGGAGGTGGCCGTGGACAGAGAGAATTAGAGGACCCAAAACAAGACTCCGGCGGTGAGCTTGAGCTGTTACCACCACTGTGCTGAGTCTCCCTTCCCTCTTGCTTGTTTGATTAAATGACAAGGATACAATGAGGATTAAATAGTGAGATGTACATGTAATGGCTGCTCATCAGATAATAGTGGTCAGTATGCTGGAAAAGCAGGTATCCTTTAGGAAAAAACTACCCAGTCGACCTCCTGGGATGTTGTCACTTATTCATTGAGTACCTTGGAGCACCTGGTGAGTGCCGTGTGCCGGAAGGACTGCAGCGAGCAAGACTGATTTGTGTCCACCCTCATGGAGCGCAGGCACCCCGTCCCCGCCCACTGTCCCACTGTGTTGCCGTGGGACAGAGAGGGCGTGGCTGTGGGTGGGCAGGGGGATCGTGCAGCCCGCACCCCTCCCTCTCCCCCCAGATTGAACCGGCCTCTGACGCTCTCAGAGAAGATTGTATATGGACACCTGGATGACCCAGCCAAACAGGAGATTGAGCGGGGCAAGACATACCTGCGGCTACGGCCTGACCGCGTGGCCATGCAGGACGCCACGGCCCAGATGGCCATGCTGCAGTTCATCAGCAGTGGGCTGCCCAAGGTGGCCGTGCCGTCCACCATCCACTGCGACCATCTGATCGAGGCCCAGCTCGGGGGTGAGAAGGACCTGCGCCGGGCCAAGGTGAGCTGAAGGGGGCATCGGGACAGTGCGTGTGACATGGGATGAGAGGCAGATTCCTTGAGCTAGGCTCTTTGGTGTAGTCTTGTTTTAAACATTTTTGCTCTTCTCTAACTCTGAAAATACCATTTGTTTATTGTGAGGATGTTAGAAGATAACAGAGAAAGCCTAAAAACAAAACAAAACCCCCCAAATCATCCTTAATCTTCCCACATTTAAAGGTATTTTTTTGTGGTCATTTTTCTGTTCTGCTAGAAAAATGTTGCAGACCGGCTTCTGGTACAAGAGGGTGGCTTAAATCTCCCTTCCTACCAGCCTCACCTGTGCGCTCACTCGCGCTCTCGGCCGACCCCCAGGACCCCGGCAGGGAGGCAGGCGGATGGCGTTGCTGTTCATGAATCCCAATCGGCTAAGGCCCTGTGCAGGGAAGCCCCCCTGTCTTGAGTGCTGTCCCTTACTGATTGGCCTCCTTGGGGGGCTTTCTTCTGGGAGTTTGCTTCATGAGGTAGAAACAGGTGTATGCCACATGGAATTGTTTTTTTTCCTTGAATTCCTCCCAGCCTTCCTTATGAAATCAGATTCCTGCTCCTTCCCCCAGCCTCTGCTTGTGGTAACCTTTGTGTGTGCCTGCTCTTGACCACAGCGGGTCTCTGCCAGCTCTGGACCTCCACCCTTTCTACCCCCTGCACTGGAAGTGGGTCCCCCTCTTGGGGGGCTGTTGGCAGGAGCTGAATGCTGGCAGGGCTGCCATTGAAAGTGCTCCAGCTCCCAGGGTCAGCAGAGCTCCCAGAGCCTCTCAGACCCATGGGAAACACTCTGTTTTCCCACTCGAGCCCTCTCTTCCCATCCTGGCCTGTCAGTCTGGGTCCTGGCTGACGGTAGCTCTTTTTCTACTCTGCTGAAAGAGCCCAGCCTGCTGGCCAGAGGTTTCCCTGTTAGCAGCAGCCGGGGTGGAATGTTACAGGGGCCCCTGCAGTGCTGGGAGCTGGCCGTGGCCAGGAACAGGGTCCTCTCCAGCCCTGGGGATGACTGCTCGCTGCAGGCCACTGCCTTCAGGGTCTGGCTCTCCCTTTACTTTATGGGTTCAGAATCTACCTTCTGGAGATGAGATTCACAGGATCATAGGATTTCAGTGTTTATTGAACACTAATGATGTGCTAGGAGCTGTGCTAGATGCTGGGGATACGGTGTGAACGAGATGGGGGCCCTGCCTTCGTGCATCTTAGAGTCTGATAGGGAGACAGACAGTAAACCATCACACAAGCAGGTAATTGCCGATTTGGTTATATCTTACAAAGGGGAGACCTAGAACTCTGTGAGAGTATAAGAAAAGAAGTCTAATTTATTTTATTTTATTTAAAAGATTTTATTTATTTGAAAGAGAGAGACACAGCGAGAGAGGGAACACAAGCAGGGGGAGTAGGAGAGGGAGAAGCAGGCCTCCTGCTGAGCAGGAAGCCTGACACGGGGCTCAATCCCAGGACCCCGGGACCATGACCCGAGTCGAAGGCAGACGCCTAACAACTGAGCCACCCAGGCGCCCCAAGAAAAGAAGTCTAATTTAGACTCTGGGGAGTAAGGGACAGCCTCTTGAGGATGTGACATGTAAGTTGAAACCAGCACAGATAAACTGATACTAACTGGAGGAAGAACATTCCAGGCAGAACAGTATATATAAAAACCCCAAGGCAGGAAGCAACTTGATGCATTTGTGCAGTTGAAAGGGGGCCCGTGGAAGAGAGGGTGGTGTGAGGTGGACGGGGGCAGGCACAGGCGGGGCCTTGAGGGTCACGGGCACCATCCTGGGAGTCCCCGAAGGGCTTAAGCAGAGGAGGGTTATGGTCAGATTTACATATATTTGTAGAGTCCCTTCGGTTGGGGATCAGAGAGACAGAGTGACCTACCCAGGGTCACACAGCCAGAGAAGGCTCTAGGCTGAGTTCAGGCCAAGACTCTGCTGCACCATCCTGTCCCCCTTTGCCACCTCCACCACTTGCCCATACGTAAGAACACGTACTCAGACACACAACCACTCCTCCTGCCCTTGGTGCCAGTGTTATAAGTGACTGATTTGAATAAAAAAGCTGTCGTAGTAATGATTAATCGGAGAGACCGCTCCGGGGGCCCAAGTTTTTTGTGTGCTGTTCTTTTGCCTGGGGGTACCCAGTGGGCCTCAGAAGGAGGCATGGCTGGTCTGGAGTTTAAATGAAGGAGGCTGCGTGGTCTTGAGGGTGTGCTACTGAGGGCCAGGGAGCTGACAGTGTGAGTCCCTCTGCCTTGGAGTGTGGATCTCCCATGCCCAGAGGCCAGCATGTCTCACTGCCTGGTTCCTCCTTTGGGACTCTGTGCAGTCTGCCCTGGTCCCTTCCCTTGTGTCACTGGAGTCTCCCCTGTCCAAGAAGATACCGTGTTTTCCAGGTAGACCCTGACCTCGTATCACCTGTGCTGGGAAGCCTTCCCTGCCCACTGAAGAAGCCACCTTCCAATTCCAGGCAGAGTGGGCACAGCCCGTCCTGTTGTGTTGTTGAAATCTGCATTCAAGAACATGGTCCATTTGACAGTCTTTCATCTGGGGCCCATCAAATGTATTAGCCTCCTTCATGTGCCAGATGCTGGTGTTCCTAGATGTCCTCTTCCTTATGAGGGAGGAAGCTCTATTTTATATTAGAACGTAACTCTTTGGTTATGTGGGTGCACAGGCCTGGTTTCAAACCCTGGGATTTAATTCAGGGATCTCCAGCAAGTTATTTCATTTTGAGACTGTTTTTTGCATCTGTAAAGTGGCCTTGATGACAGTACCTTCCCTCTTTCGTGGGACGGATTGTGAGGATGTTTAGTGCAGTGGGCATTCAATAAATGTTAGCCAGGATTACTGACATTGCCTTAAATGAGGCATCCGAGGCTTAGGTGGAGAAACAGCCCTTGCGTGAGTTACAGTGGGACTGGAGCACCCACTTGATCCCACTGCTTCCCTTGGACAGCCCCCTTCCCCCAACACCATATCCCAGTTAGACTGTCCTGTGGTGGTGTGCCCCTCACTGCTGGCCTTGACTGAGGACTTGAGTGCCAGAGGGACCCTTAGAGATGACGTAGCCAAGTTCCTTCTACAAATAAGGAAACTGAGATCAGGGTACAGAAGGGACTTGCGCCAGACCCACTCCCTGGCCAGGTGTCACAGAACTGAGGCTCTGTCTGCTCTCTTGCCTTTGTCCCTAGGCCAGCCAGCTGAGACTGGGCCAACATCCAGGCCCTTTTGGAATCATTTGTAGAAGGCCTCCAGTAGAGGGCCTGTTTTCATAGCGCCAGCATTTCAGAGTTGCAGGGTGAGGGTGGGCGGGGTGGGGGGTGAGCAAGGGTTGTTCCAGACACACACTGTGTTACTAATGCTCTGGTTATTGATTTGTCTCACTAGGACATAAACCAGGAAGTGTATAATTTCCTGGCAACCGCGGGTGCCAAGTATGGCGTGGGCTTCTGGAGGCCTGGCTCTGGAATCATTCACCAGGTAAAGCAGGGCTTGGCCTGCCTTTCTGGGGGAAGGGCCCTTAGGGAACCAGAGAGCATCTCCTGGCCTACAGGAGCAGAAAGCCAGAGGCTCAGGGGGTGGAGGGGGGTTGTATCATTTTTTTGTCTGGCTTTTTCCCACGAGTGTTATTCCTTGTTGCATGGACAGCTGACATTTGATGGGTGCGTTCTGTGTGCAGGCACTAGACTTAGCACTTGACAGATGATAACGTACTCGTTGTTCACCACAACTCTATGAGGTAGGTGGTTTCATTATTTGTGCCTCACAGATGAAGAAACTGAGGCACAAAGAAGTTAATCCACTTGCCCAGGGACAACTGGCTGAGGGTGGAGGCAGGATTTGCCTCCGGGAGTCAGTGCTTTGCACCGTGGGCTGCAGGCTCGCCTCCCATCACACCAGGGGTTCTTACCCCTTTGGGCCCCTTATTCTGTAGGATGGAGGTGCCCCAGGCCACGTGGCTTTGTCAGCCAGGAGTTCTTCCGGGGTCTCCTGAAGGATGGATGATCTTTTGATGGGCGATTTTGTCTCTGCAAGTGCAAGTGTGTGTGCATGTGTTTCTAGGGAGATAGGTACTTCGCTTTCATCCAAGGTGACTAGTTTGTGGGGTGTGCACTGGTTTGTGTGTCCATTTGCCGTCCATCCTGTATGTGTGAGACCTGCCTCTTTACACCTTTCCAAGGTGACCCTTCTCCCCACCTCCATCCCAGGCCTCCTTCAAAATGAGGTAAGTTAGGCTGTAATCTGACCCTGCATGGGCTCCAGCACTGCCCCACTCCGAAACCAGAACCCTTGGATCACTGCTCTGCCCTTTCGAGCCATTGCCCTTGCCAGGAAGGGACTGCCTGGGAGTGGCAGGTCACAGCTGTCTGCAGGGTGTAGAAAGCCTCTCTCAGCAGTAGGGCTAGGGAGTCAGGTGGATCCAACTTTGGACTTTGATCGCGAAGGGCACCCCAATCCAAGGGTCTCCCTTTCTACCCCATTAGAAATACCCAGGCCTTTTTGGCAGCTCCTGGGCAAAGTTTGGGGCTATGAGTGATGGCAGCTCACAGCTGCCCCTGGCCACCAGCTAAGTGTACAGCGTGATATATTTTTTCCTTTATTTTAAATTATTATTATTATTATTATTATTTTTTTTTAAGATTTTTAAAATTTATTCCTTTGACAGAGAGAGACACAGAGAGAGAGGGAACACAAGCAGGGGGTGGGGGAGAGGGAGAAGCAGGCTTCCCGCCGAGCAGGGAGCCCGATGCGGGGCTTGATCCCAGGACCCTGGGATCATGACCTGAGCCAAAGGCAGATGCTTAATGACTGAGCCACCCAGGCGCCGCTTAAATTATTATTTTATTATTTTATTTTTAATTTTTTTATTAAAATATTTACTTATTTTAAACAGTGCGGGGGAAGGGGCAGAGGGAGAAGAGAATCTCAAGCAGATACCACACTGAGTGCGGAGCCCGACGTGGGGTTTGATCCCAGGACCCTGAGATCATGACCTTAGCTGAAGGCAGACACTTAACAACTGAGCCACCCAGGCGCCCTATTTTTATTTTTTTAAAGATTTTATTTATTTATTTGAGAGAGAGCAAGAAGGAGCACTCATGCACACACGCAGGGAGAGGAGGAGAGGGAGAAGCAGACTCCCCACTGAGCAGGGAGCCAGAAACAAGGCTCCATCCCAGGACCCTGGGATCATGACCTGAGCCGAAGTCAGACGCTTAACCATTTGAGCCGCCCATGCACCCCTATTTTTCCTTTAAAAAGAAAATTCCCATGAAGCATGTGATCTCTGTGCAGCTTTGATTTTTCTCTTCCCCTTGATGTCAGGCCATCAGCAGTTTTCATCCACCATGTCTAAACCAAACCTTAACCCCTTTCCCTCTGCTTTGAATGTCCTGTGCCCAGGCCTGGCACATCCTTCCTCCTCCACATCTCTGCCTTTTGGTTACCTCTCTGAAGCCCCCCTGCCCTCCCTTGTGCCCAGCATCAGAGCACCCTTATGTGATCCTCTGTGGGACCCCTTCACGTTATGATCCCTGTATGTGCCAGGACCTTCTGCACCAGACCACGTGCTCTGGGGACAGAGACTGCACTTTACCGATTCCTCTGTAGCTCTGGGCTTGGAGCCAGGTAGGTAGAGACTAGGTCCACAGTGTACACATGTGTTGTGTGGGTGGATGGCTAATGTACACTAATCCTCTCCTCCCCCATCCACATCCAGCTGCCCGAGGAGGTCACTGTCACAGTCAGTTTCATTGTGACACTTTGTGCAGTCCTCGGGTCTGCACTAACCCCTTCCTTTTGGACATGGACCATGTTGGTGGTCTGCACTGTGTAGATCACTCTGAATTTTGTGTGTCTGCTCTTCATGATCAGACTTGCAGAACCTTGAGGAGCCTTATATTAACTAGGTTTAAACTTTGGTTTGTGGTTGGGGCAAGGAGTCCAGAGAAATGAAACAGTTGAGCAGTGTCCTGTCCAACAGTTGTTTGCCCAGGATTTCCTCTTGGTTGGCCTTTTCTCCCAGCCAGCTGTCACCCTCCTGAGGAAGGAACCAGCCCTTCTAACTGCCGGCATCCTGAGAGGCAAGACCCCTCGCTCCTTGCTGAGTCTGCTGGGAGATGTGTATCCCAGGGCAGGGGCCCTGGGGTTTCTGTAATATTCCATGGAGCCTGTCCACCATGAGGCAGGCCGGACCATTCATGGAGCCTTTCACGTCTCTGACCTCCTTTGCCCTTCCCAACATCCGAGTGTGTGCTACAAAAGAATAAATAGAAGTACTGCCTCTCACAGGCACGATTACAACTTAATACACATAATCCCAGGGGCGCCTGGATGGCTTAGTCGTTAAGTGTCTGCCTTTGGCTCAGGTCATGATCTCAGGGTCCTGGGATCGAGCCCGGCATTGGGCTCCCTGCTCCGCGGGAAGCCTGCTTCTCCCTCTCCCACTCCCCCTGCTTGTGTTCCCTCTCTCGTTGTCACTCTCTGTCAAAAAATAAAATCTTTAAAAAAAAATACACATGATCTCATTGAGTTATCACTGTGAGCACTATGGGCTGTTTCTATGAGGAAATAGACCTGGAAGGTGAAGTGACTTGCCCGAGGTCCCACACCTACTAGCAGGCAGTGGGTTTGGGGCTCAGACTAAGGGCCCCTTGGCCAGGGCTTTTCCAGTAATATCCTGTGGCCTCCGATGCCTGGATGGGGGGGCAGGGCTGCTCTGGGATAGCTGTACCTCCGCAATCAGATGTTTTGGGGAAATGCTCACTGCCAGCACCTTCCCAAGCTGGGAAGAGGCCCTCGATGAAGGAGCCATTTTGAACAGGAAAGGGGAGGAGGAGGAGGCAAGGCAGCATCTACATGAGCAAGTCCCTTCAATTATCAGAGCCACTTCCAGGCCTTGGGTTGGGGAGGCATTGTCTGTACTTGCTTTCAGTTCAGCAGCAGAAGAGCCCAGGGCCTGTGCTCCTGTCGGGTCTCCGGTGCTTCCTTGCGGACACTGGAGCCAGCTCCTGAAGGAATTGTCCCCCCGAGAAGCCCAATAGGCACGTGCCACGCCCAGGCAGTCGGCCACGTGAGATGGGGAGCAGGTGTCAGGAGCACCTGTAGGCAGTCACATTTGTCACAGGACACATTCCTGTATCTCTGCTCGTCTGGTTCTCACCGTGATTCTAGGGTCAAGGCGGTGCAGGTGTTCTTGGTTCCATGCCGCAGACACGGACATTGGGGCACGAGGAGGCACTTGCAAGCCCAAATCAGACTAGTCCAGGACTATCAGAGCTGGTCAGGGGCCCGGGCTTCCTGTCTCTCTTCCAGCCACCCTTGAGAGGCTCTGTCCTGGAGGGGTGCCTGGGAATGGCCCAGAGAGCAGCTTTGCCGGACCCTTTTGGTCCCTACTTCTGTTCTCTGATGAGGGCTTTTAGGCTGAAGATCTTGGGGTCTTTTTTTTTTTCAGATCATTCTGGAAAACTATGCATACCCTGGGGTTCTTCTGATTGGCACTGATTCCCACACCCCCAATGGCGGTGGCCTGGGGGGCATCTGCATTGGAGTCGGGGGTGCTGATGCAGTGGACGTCATGGCCGGGATCCCCTGGGAGCTGAAGTGCCCCAAGGTGAGGAATAGGGAAGGGCTCTTTTAGCCGTGGCTGCAGAGGGGTGGTTGATGGGGAGGCGTGGGAGCCTGTGGGACCCAGATGGGATGAGGGAATAGTTCAGACTCAGACCTCTCTGAGAGAGAGGCAGGGGTAAATAAGCAGGAATGGGAATCCCAGCAGGCAGACCCTTTTGGTTGGAGCATGACACCTGGCGCCTAATTGCTGTCTCGCTCCACCTGTTCAGGTGATTGGTGTGAAGCTGACGGGCTCGCTCTCCGGTTGGACCTCCCCCAAAGATGTGATCCTAAAGGTGGCGGGTATCCTCACCGTGAAAGGTGGCACGGGTGCCATTGTGGAGTACCACGGGCCTGGTGTAGACTCCATCTCCTGCACGGGTGAGGAGGGTGGCCATGTGACCTCGCCCGCAGCCTGTGTGGGGCCTGACGGGGCCTGTCGTTGAGCCATGGAAGCCGTGAATGGCCTTCCTCCGAGAACCCATCCAGTTTGGGGACTTGGATGGACACCTAGAGGTGGGGGGTATTATCTAGTCAAGGTCCCTCAGTACATTTCAGCTGCCATAGCACTGGGCTGCCTTGGGGGACCCGGAAAGGGAATGCCAGAGAGGACGGAGGTGGTGGTGGGAATGGGGAGTCAGAGCCAGGGCTTCATTCACAAAGCAACCCCCTTCCCACATCTTCCCTGGAGCCTCACTCAGATCCCTTGAATTAGACTTAACACCTACTAGGCTCTAAGAGCAAGTAAGTAGGAGCCGGCCCCTTTTCCTCATCACTCCAGGTGAGCTGGCTTCAATGCCTGGGCGCTCCGGAGTGCAGGGAGACTTGGAACAAACCTTCCAGATGGTCCAGTCCAGACTTCCCCAGGTCCAGAGCCCCCACAGGGCTCCTGTTCAGCTGGCCCTTCTCCCCTCCAGAGATGGGGGCTCAGTCTTACAGGTAGCCCTTACTGCCACTGGACAGCTCAGTTTGGAAGTGGATAACAATCCTAGTCCCATGCCCCCAGCAACCCCCTGAGACTAGTGTCCTGGTACAGTCAGGACATCTGTAAGCCTCACCGTTTCTGGGTGAGGCTCTGTGGTCCAGACAGTGGATGTCCTTCCAGTCTTATTGCTGGAAAACCTGAGACCCAGAAACATTTCCACATAGCACCGTGGTGTGGCTGAAAGGAGAGCAGGCCTGGACACCAGGCAGGTGGACCTAGACCCGAATGCCAGTGCAGCACCTGCATGTGCTCTGTGGCATGGCCTCGGACCTCTCTGAGCCAGTTTGCTCACCTGCAGAATGGCCACAGTAACAGCTGGGCCGGCTGGCCAGGTCAGCCTTCAGTACACAGCGGCCGTCTGGTCACCTGAGCAGCACTGCCAGGCCCAGAAGTGGAACCTGGCTGGGAGGGGCTGAATCTTATGTTCTGTCTGTGGGCCCTGGTTTTAACCCTGGGCCACGAGGGACAAGTCTGCCTGCTGCCACAGGATGGCTGCGTGGGCGAAGGAAGGAAGGACACGAGCTCCCCGGGGTGAAGATGTGTGTGCGCACCCAGCAGGTGTGTGGGACCCATGCCCAGCTGCTCCGCCCGCCTCACAGGCTCTGTTTCTCTACAGGCATGGCGACAATCTGCAACATGGGTGCAGAAATCGGAGCCACCACGTCGGTGTTCCCTTACAACCACAGGATGAAGAAGTACCTGAGCAAGACAGGCCGGGAGGGTGAGCCGGCAGGGCCGGGGGGGAAATGGCAGGACAGTCATGTTGCATGGAGACCCCTGAGCTAAACCTTTCCCTTCGGGGCAGGGTCTTTAATCTCGTGTTTCCAGTCTGGCTTCAGAGGTCCTGAGAAGCCCCCACAACGGTGTGAAAAATTACGTGTGTGTGTGTGTGTGTGTGTTACTGTTTCTGAGTAGAGTGTCTGTGGCTCCACCAGCTTCTCGAAAGGCCTGGCATCTGAGATACCTCTGCCTTGGGATTGGAATTTAGTTCTACCTGAAAGGATGGCCAAGTCCAGGGTCTTTTTGGTCTGGTCCCTGGTGCCCCCTACAGGAAGCTCTGGAAATGACACGAATCTGCTTCTATTTATGATTCCTGCCCAGTAGGAGGAAAACATTTGGAACCAGAACCACTTCCTCAGCCTCCCCCACAATTTTCCTGAGGTTCTAGCTTGGCTTCTTTGAAACTCAGAGGAAGAAATAGGGCCTGTGGGAGGGATCATTGGAGCCTCCAAAGGGAGGTGAGCAAGGGTGGTTGGTGGAACCAGAAGCCAGGGGTCATGGGCAGAGCTTGTCCAGTTGCTTCCAAGAGCTGCACACATGGAGTCCTACCTGGCCGTCCCATCCCTCTCTTTCATTATCAGGTACCTTCTCCTTCAAAATTCAGTGTTTCTCATTTCCAGGAAGCCTTCCCTGACGCTGAACCTCAGTTGTTACTTCTGTGTCCCCATGTTCCAGTCCTTCCTAGAAAAGTTCCATGTTCCTGTGTGTCTCGTATTGACGCTCCTGCCGGCCCAACCACAAGCCAAAGTTTAAACCTAGTTAATATAAGGCTCATTGATAACTCCTTCATTAGATTGTGTTCTCCTTGAGGGCAGGGACTGTGTCCTGTGCCGTTTTCACTGTTTCTCCAGGGAACTGGCTCGAATGGCTGGGTGTATGGATGGGTGGATGGTCTCATGACCAGGTTCTGTCCCACATGCTTTAATCTCCCTCCCTTACTGGTTTCAGACATTGCCAAACTAGCTGATGAATATAAGGATCACTTGGTACCTGACCCTGGCTGCCATTATGACCAACTGATTGAAATTAACCTCAACGAGGTGAGGAAGGCAATTGGGTCCAAGGAATTTCTGAGGGTGGGGAGTTCAGGCCCCATCTGGGGACTCCTAGGGGGCCCTGCCTGCACACCCAGCAGGGTAGTTGGGCCTTTGGTTCCCCAGTGCCCCTGCAAACTGCTGCCCAAATCAGGCTGCAGTTGGGTGGGAGAGGAGGCTGTGGCTGCTGATTCAGAAACTGGCTCAGTTTGCCTCCACCTTGGCGTTAACAGAAGCCAAGACTTTGCCCTGGAGTTTGCTTTGTTATCTGAGTTCAGAGGTCATGGCCCAAGATTCCTAGGCCTGGGCAGCGTTTGGCACCCTGGGACCGGCAGACCAGAGCGAGCGTCTGGAAGGCGGAGGAAAGGCACGCTGGAGGAAAGGAAGCAGCCGAGTAGACTGGTTGAAGGTTTAGGCCCTGAAGACAGTCTTCATGAGTTCAAATCCTAATTCCTGACCCTGCCACCTGAAGCCTGTGACCTTGAGCAAGTTCCTCAACCTCTTTTGGCCTCACTTTATCATGTGTAAAATCTCAGGTGGCCATGGGACCTGAATGCGCTAATTCACGTAGTAATATTTGGGCACATGTATTGAGAGCCGTGTGTAGGCGCTTTGCTAAGTGCTTTGCATTTATTGGCAAGTATTATTACAGACAAAGCACCTGGCTTTAAGTCTGTTTTTGTCATAAAATTGATGACAGAGCATCATAGTGTAGGAGACAATGGACTCATGATGCTGACTTCCTTCATTCCTTCCATGCTTTTGCCATCTCCTACTCTGTGACCTTGAGTGACCTTGAGCAAGGCACGCCATCTCCTTCATCTGCACAGTGGAGATAATATGAGCTTCACAGGGTTGGAGGGATCCCGCAGCTGGTGCGTGTACAGAGCCCACCACTCGGGTGTTTCCTGGGTTTGAGCTAGAAGTCGGCCTCCCAGGTCCTCTGTGATTACCTGGGGGAGTGGAAGCCACACAGCCTCTGGAGAACAGTCTAAGATTTCCATACTACGATTTGTTCTCTCCCCTTTGTTTTTTCAGCTGAAGCCGCACATCAATGGGCCCTTCACCCCTGACCTGGCTCACCCTGTGGCAGAAGTCGGCACCGTGGCAGAGAAGGAAGGATGGCCTCTGGACATCCGAGTGGGTGAGTACCTCCCACCCTGTTGGCTTCACAGGTTGTGGGACCAGGAGGCCTGCCCAGGGCTGCAGATGCCTGCCTGCGCTCGCCGTGGGCACTTCCTACAGGTACCAGGCACTTTCTGGAATAGTTTGTTTCTTCTTTATGGTTTTTTTAAAAACTTAGTTTTTTTGGTAATACCAAAAAGAAATACATGCTCTCATTGTAGTGAATATTCACAAACAGGTGAATTTTCAAAACTTCTCATCTTAACCCCCAACCAGAAACCAGCTCAAGGAGGTCCTGGAGGGGTTCTTTCTGTGTACGTGTACATACTGACATGTGTCTACTTTTGTTTTACAAACATTTCATCAGCCCAGCCCTGTTGCTTGATTTCCGTTCACATGCTTTACATGTACGGACACACTGGCATGTCATGATGACTGGCCCCTGTCACCGGACGGTGTGACTGGAGCGTGGACCACAAAGCCAGGTGGCCTCGGCTTAAATGTGGCTTGGGTACTACAGAGCTGGGCGACCATGAGCAAGTTACATTACCCACCTGTGCCTCGGTTCCCTGTCTGGAAAACAAGGGTGATACTGTGTTTACCTGTAAATGTTGGAGGGGCGGCAAGTTAACACGGTGTCTGGCGTAAAATAGTGCTGTGTGTTTTCCCTCAGTGGTTGAAGCAAATGTGCAAAAACGGTGGTGGTTTCATTAGAAGCAGATTGCTGAACTGCTGAGTGAAGACTATCTTGAGGGCTATCAATAATATGCCATCCAGTCTTCATTGACTTTTTGAATAACTATCACAGACTTTTAAAAAATAATTTTTTCTCCTTGATGATAAAACAATTAAAGAAGGAGAGAATGCTCAAAAGTATGAAAGAAGAAACTTTATCTCCTAAAAGCCCTGATCCAGCTGTGGTCACTGTTAGTATTCTGGAGTGAGCCCTCTGACTCACTTCACTGGCCACGTCGTTTTCCCCTGAATGGCTGGGCCGTGGAGCAGCCTGTCCTGTGGTGTTAGACAGTTGGATTGCTTCCAACTTGTCTCCGTTAAGAAGAGCCCCAGGCCCGGCACGGTTGGCGAACTCTTGACCAGGTCTGGATAGTTGAGGTCAGGTGGAGACCTCTGGTCCTGACCCCTGGCCCCACCACCCACAATGCACCAGGTCTGATCGGCAGCTGCACCAACTCCAGCTATGAGGACATGGGGCGCTCGGCAGCCGTGGCCAAGCAGGCGCTGGCCCATGGACTTAAGTGCAAGTCCCAGTTCACCATCACACCAGGCTCTGAGCAGATCCGTGCCACCATTGAGCGGGATGGCTATGTGAGTGCCCACACGCCCTGCCCCTGGTTCCCCCTCCCCACCGCTGAGCAACGTGGCTTCGGGCAGGACAAGCCACAGCCTTGTCAGCTGGGGCGGGTACAGGTCCCCCTGCAGCTGCCCCAGGGTTCCAGAACGGCTCTTCATCACTCAAGCTGCTGACCCACCCTTGCCCATCAGCCACCAGCCTGCCCCTGACCTTTCCGTGTCCTCCTCTCTGCAGGCACAAATCCTAAGGGAAGTGGGTGGCATCGTCCTGGCCAATGCCTGTGGCCCCTGCATTGGCCAGTGGGACAGGTGAGAGGTGCACCTCTGATAGGACAGCCAGTTGTGTCCTGGGGTCCAGAGCCCCAGATATTGAGGGGAAGTGTTACTGGGTGGAGAGAAGAGACTCAGCCCCAGGCCTGTAGCTTCAGGGGCTACTGCACACTGGAAAACTTTTCTAGGAAGGACTGGAAAGTTGGGCTGGAAGGAAAGAGGAAGGAGTGGCCACCTGGCTGAAGCCAGATGCAGCCAGGGGGTTTGAGGGAGCCGTGTGAACGGAGGCAGTGGCCCAGGGTCGGGAAAGTCAGGCCTTGGTTTGGGCTCTGCCTGCCTTACCTGTGGTCCAAGCAAACCTCTGGGCTCAACCAGGGTCCCTCCCGCTCTGTATGCGTGAGTCCCAGGGAGGAGGTGGCTGTTTCAGGGTCTTTCCGTTTCCCCCTCTTCTGTCATAAGCCAGGCAGGACGGGCTTGGTGACAAGGACAGACACGCTTAACCCTGTCTCCTCTGGCCTGGCAGAAAGGACATCAAGAAGGGGGAGAAGAACACAATCGTCACCTCCTACAACAGGAACTTCACAGGCCGCAACGACGCGAACCCCGAGACCCACGCCTTCGTTACGTCCCCGGAGGTGAGCCTGTCCGGCCGGGCCGTGACCCGGGACCGCCCCTGGGGCTGGGCGTCTGACCCCATGGGGCTGTGAGGGAGGGTTGGCATCGCAGAGCAAGGGGCTTTCTGGGTGGAAACCAAGAGCCACAGGCCTCAAGCGTCACGCTCCCTCTGCTCCCTGCCTGGCCCCCTCAACGGCCCGGGAGTCTGAGGGCCTTGTCGGCCACAGTTAGGGTCACAAGCCAGAGCTTGGAGTCCCTGCCCAGGACGAAGGGCAGCCCTGCCTCCACCCAGTCGTACGGCTTTGGCCAAGTCACTGTCCTTCTCTGTGCCCCAGGCTCCTGTCAGGATTACAGGAAAGTGCGGAAGGCGTGTGCACCGTCTCCTCCGGGAAGGCGGCCTCCGACTAGGAACGCTGATGCGCCAAGCACTCCAGGGCGCAGTGGCTATTTGGCCTCGGCCATTGGCAGCACACGGCCAGGCTTTCTTGCCTTCTTATTTTTTATATAAAAGATTTTAAGTCATCTCTACACGCCATGCAGGGCTTGAGCTCACAACCTCGAGATAAAGGGTTACACGCTCTTGTTTCTTGACTTTAAATGAGTGTTCCAGAAGTACTTTTAGCCCACAAAAGTGACTGAAGAGGTGGCGCCTTCCTTCCATGTCTTCAGCTGCCCATTTGGGAACGTTTTTGCCGCAGCGGCGTTTCTGTGCGAGGGCCCCAGCGCGTGCCCGTGACCTGCACCCCCAGAGACGTTCTTGCAGCTCTGGCCTCTGTGGGGAGGACTTGTGTGTGCAGAACTTAGATGTACCTGGGCTCCATTCCCCGTTTCCGTCTGGGCTCCTGCTAGGTTGGAGGGTGGGAGTGGTGTTTGGTACTAACCAGCAGTGGGCCACCTCCATTCCAGATTGTCACAGCCCTGGCCATTGCGGGCACCCTCAACTTCAACCCAGAGACTGACTTCCTGACAGGCAAGGATGGCAAGAAATTCAAGCTGGAGGCTCCGGATGCAGATGAGCTTCCCCAAGCGGTGAGCAGGTCCTGCCGCTCGCTGTGGGGCTAAGACACTCCTTCCTGGGCAGGCAGGATGGCACTGGCAGTGAGAATGA